AGGACAAACCTGGTTGGTTTTAGAGGCCGAGAGAGAGAGAGAGAGAGAGAGAGAGAGAGAGAGAGAGAGAGAGAGAGAGAGAGAGCAGAGTAGCTGTATGGAGTCTGTAGGAGAATGTAATATCCTCGCACCTCTCTCCGCATTCTGTTCTATCCTCCTCCCCCCTCCCCCCCTCACACCTCCCAGGACTCCCCGAGGCCACATAATATCCTCCCGAGAATTGCCACTGCCACCAACATCCCCGACCTCATCTTCGTCCTCGTCCTACCAATTCCAGCTAGTAAGCAGCAGCAGCAGCAGCAGCAGCTTTACCCTCTGCCGATCTCGAAAAAGTAAACCTCATCTCTACTTCAGGACGCGGGAAGTCCGGAGGGTCGGTGATAGGGCAACTTAAGCCAGATCAGTATTCAGGCTTGAGCCTATAGACTCTTCTCTATTGCTAGGGGGAGTGCGATACGGGGGTGGATTTGGTATTGGCACTGATCTTGTGGTAAGAAGAAGAAAAAAACAATTTGAAACGTCTTAATTCGTGACTTTTATGAAATTCTTTTTTTCTCAAACCCTAACAGGCTTACGCGACGTGGCTTTCCAATTTCCATGTTAATATACGAAAATTACTGAACCCTCTGTCGAGACGGACGTAGCTCGAACGTAACGTCTACCGGGTGATACGGAAAACGCAACTCCTGGGATTCTCCGCTCCCACGATAACGAAGTTACTTCGTTTCTCGGTAGCGACGCACGTCGCTGCGCCCGATAATCGAATAGAAACGGGAAAACCGTTAATTAGTTAGTGCCGTTTTGGCGGCTATCGGATGCAAATTGGCCGAGCGTGGTGCTTGAAAGGTGGAGGCATAGGAGCCTTCTAAGTGAACCTTATAATTACGAGAAAGGCAATCTAATGGAATAACACACATACCGGCGGAACGAGTAGATGAAAGAATTTCATTTGACCGTCAACTCCACAACCCCCATGGCAACTCCAATTAGCAGCCCTTGTTACAGATAAGTTGTAATTTACCCAAAACAAAAAAAGTCGCCTCCACAGGCACCGTCAAATCTCCATAAGGTCCGCAAGGGTTCAAACCTCCATAAAGAGCAGAGACAGACGCGTAAAAAGGGCCAGTGGAAAGAGCAGCGAGATGCAGCGAGTGGGGGTGCGACAGGGAGGAGACGAAATGACAAGCCTGTATTCAGAAAGGAGATAAAACAAGTAGAAAAAGCTTTGCAGTTTTTTTTTTCACCCGAAACCCACAATTTTTCAAATCTTTTCCCACGACCCCCCCATCTTCACCCCCCCTCCATCCACGTACGCGTATATGTCCCAATGATAAATGCACGTCGCTTCGTCCTGTAGAATATTTACGATTCCCCCCCTCCCCCTCCCCCCCAAGGATTCACTGATCGATGGTCCACCCTACTACCAGCCACTGGCCAGCATCCCTGTGTCTTACAATTTCAAATTGACAACCCTCGTTCAGTTCCGACCAAGCGTACCGGTGTACGAAGATCGTCTGACCATCATCCCTTAACGCGTCTACCCTCATACGGCCAACCCCTATACGATAGACACAAGGCGACCAAGGTATAAGGTCACTGGACCGTAGCGCCATACAGTATCACTTAGACCAGACCAGACTTTACAGTTCAACCACTTCCGCCCATACGTAACTTGGTCAATTGATCTGCAAGGGTGAATTTGTTTTTTTTTTAATTCCTCCCATTACCACCCCCAGCAAAATATACGAGCAGCTTCTCCATATGGGATAATCGCATGGGAAATTCTTTCACGCGCGACGCATGCCCACGTGCTTCGTCAGCCGTGAGTCCCGTGCGCGATGCGTCGCGTGCATCGAGTACTCGTAACGTTTCGTACGGACCGTGCAGTTACGATCCCAAGGCTTTATTAATCGTGAGCGAGGGACACTCTGTGTCGTAGGTGCAAGATTCAGCGACGTTGACGTCCATGCGCCCGACTGGCAAGTGCATAAATGTGCACTACTCCCCTGCGTCTAGTTGCGCTAGGGATCTCGGGAGCAGCGGGGTGCGACATGTGTTTTCGAGGCTCCTCCATCATGGAAATTTATGATCCCAGCGTTGAACGGTGCTGGGGCATAAATGCCCGAATAACGAGAGATCGTCGTGCGGTCGTATAACGTCGCGGAATTTGTTGTTAGATCGATAATAAACTTCAGCGTTTAAAATTTCATACTGAATTATTCGTTTATGGATATGAATTATACACATATATATATATATATATATATATAGAGAGAGAGAGAGAGAGAGAGAGAGAGAGAGAGAGAAGGAGAGAATTTTATCACGATAAATATCCTTTATCCTCCACTTCGTACTTTATCACTTTTCTTTATACGTCATCCCAAAGATTCGTCTCCTCGAGAAGATTTCTTAAGACGCGACTTCTCTTCGCGTAACTTTTCTTTCACTGGAAATTGCTACTTCCCTTCGTATACGTTATAACGATTTGTCATAGGGGTATCTCTTCCCGGATGTTTTTACACTGAGAAAATAAGTCGACAAATTTTAACGGTGAAGTATATAGACGCTTATGCATGTATAATGCATATATGTACAGTCATTTGCCCATAGAACGTATACTAGCTGCTTGGGTAAATGCGCTGTGTATATGTATACTGTATACATATGTATATAGCGATTCTATAAGGTTGCTGAATTTCAACAGTACTCGCATGGTTGAATCTGCTCGATTTTCGCGAGATTAACTATTTGCCAAACTGTACGATGTTTACCTTAAATTACAAGCACGCGGGAAGAGTCGTCTTCTCCTCCACGATATATATATATATATATACAATGCTTTGAAGGAAAATATTTCATGGAGCCCGAACGCTCGTTTTGTTCTCTATTAAACCGCATCTCGACCGCGGGATGCTGGGACTCTCGAGATTCCTTTGGAGTTCGTTTTCGTAACGCTTCTTTTTCTCTTTCTCTTTTACTCTATTTTTTTCCCCCTTTTCTTTTGTCCATTTCTTTTTCTCTCCCTTTAGCCAGAGCTATACGCACACAGGACCGACACATAAACGCACGTGCACACGAGCATCAAAAGCCGTGTCGAGGTTTAATATTGTGCCGGGTTTCTAAGGAAAGATGTTGTTTCTTTCCTATCTGGCGCCTCGTAACGCAGTTTTATGAAAGAACGTCTTTTTATTTCGGTAATTCGTAAGCACGTATAGCTATACCTGGTTCCCGTTTCTCTCGTGCTATACCTGAATATCATACGGGTACTGATGCCACGTGGGGAGAAAGAGAGCGAGTGAGCGAGACAAAAATTAATTTCACTCAATTGCGAAAAACATAAGAATAAAATTCCTAAGGGCTCCGCACGTGATAACCGTACCCGTGGCCGATCGGTTGCTGCAATCAGTGCAGCAGATAACGCGAAACTGCAATGCAATGAGTCCAAAAGGTAAATAAAGTACGTTATCGGATATCTTCGAGTAATTATCACGTTTTATACAGAGATTTATAGAACATATGCGTAAACAGATGATTCGGTTCGGTTGTTAAATTTAATTATTTATGAAAAAAAAAATAATTGTTTGTTTACTTTGCATACATGCAAAAATGATCATTATAAAAATTCTGATCCTTCGCACCGATTTACCTTAGCTGATCGATAACGTGTCTTTATGCGTATTAGGATAGCAGCTAGATGGCAAGCCTAGTGTAATCCTAATATATTTTAAAGGTGCATATAGAGCCATCTCTGGATGTAGTACAGAGGTTAATATCTCGTATCGTAAAGATCTTGAGGTAAGACGTCAAGTGGCCTGCAAAGAATTGGTCCCGCGAGTCTGCAGAACCAGCGGGTTGGCAGCAATGGACTCTGGAGTGGAGTCGTGTAGGAATTCAAGAAGGAAAGATGGGAATGAGTTTGAAAAAAAAAATTGACTCGAAATAAGGGTAAAAAATATGTAACGTCAGGTATATAGGAAACGAGCGGCGCATTTTCACTGGCGCTGTGCTACGTACGTGCTTGGACGCGTGGTACAATTTATTACAACTTTCTTGCGCGTTAAAGCGTACACTAAACCGCATATCTAATGCTCCGTTCCCAGGGGAGACTAAATCATAAATTGCTCGAACCCTCCTCCGGTTCTTGCGCAATGTTCGGGATTGCATGTGCATCTAGGTATGGAAGAAGGAGCAGTGACTGAGGATGGGTCTTATGTGCGTCTGGTGAATATATAATGGATATGTGTATAGTGCATGGTACATAGGAAGGATACTGTACTGGGTTATTATTAACATTTTTTGTACGACTGTATTTTGAAAATTTTGGAAATTTGTTTAATTCAACATGGCACGTCTGCTGGGAAATATACGAGTGACTGGAAATTTTGGCTTATAGCAAGTGGCTGGTACGTGTGTGGAGGATGTATGTAGAAGGGGATGCGGATGGGGGAGAGCAAGGTTCTAATTCCGAAGCTATCGACCTTTGACCTCGATCGAATTAGCTCACGCGACTGTCACTTCGGTTAGTTCAATGGAGAGAAGTTAGGCTTGTTTCTACCTGGGAGAGTTGTAACGTGCATGTAGCCAGTGATGCCTGAGGCATCTGTGACTCCTGGAGCATTATTAACGACCGGATCTCCTTTCGAAACTTTAATGAGATTGGTGTGGATGCGCCTTCATCCAGGTGAAATAAAATGGTTTTCGAAGCGATAGTAAGAAGGCGATGAATACATAGGCGTAGGCGGGGACGCTGACTGGTTGGTGGTTGGAATTCATGAAATGGTAAGAATATAGAAGAAAAGGTAATAGATCGTTTCTGACGTGATCGATTCTGGACCCGTTCAATTTTCTCGAACAGCAATGGAAAATTTCATATTCGGACTGTCGCAAAAATGTAAATACCGAAATGAGATTTCAGCGGAGCGAAGTGATCGGACTGGGGCAAGAAATTGTACTTTTCGTTATATCGAGATAAAGGTCGAATCGATCTTCGTCGAACTTACCGATTTCACCGCGTCGTAGTCTCCTTTCTTCAACAGGTCCATCAGCTTCTGATGCTCCATTTCCTCTTTGGTCACATATACCTTGCTCTCCTTGAGTCTCATTGCGTCTTGAGCGAGAATCTTGTCGTAGTCGTCGCTCAGGACATTGTGGAAGTTGAACTGCTTGGTCGGTAAAACAGGTTCGGATATTTTTGGTAAATCGATCGGTAAGTCTTGTTTGAACTTAAGAGTCTTCACAAGTATTTCACTCACTATCGGTGGCTGAAGATCGATTTTGTCTTTCATAGAAAGTTCATTGTCACGCTCCTCCAGATCACGTTCCGATTTATTTCGATTAATACGATTAGCTAATTGGACGGTATCGTCCGTGCATTTTTTTTCTAAGACTGATCTTGACTCACCCACAGAGATGTCGTCGACCGGTCGCGAACAGAGACGATTATCCATAACGATCTCTCGTTGCGAATCAGACTTGAGGTTCTCAAGAGGGACAGTGGAGCTTGATAGACTGCTTCCCTCCCGAGAGTGGTTCCCTAACTGTTCTCTAGTTAGCCTCAAGGTACTTCTGACCTCGTAGAGTGAGTTCCCGTCGCAGCTTTCCTGCATATCTTCAGACGGCTCGGAATTCTGCTCCCTGACCTTGCCCGAGAGTCCTTCAGACTCGTTTGTCTCGGCAGGACAGGTTCTTCGAGATTGATTAACATGATTCAGCCTGGTAGCGCTGTCCTGATGATGAGTCTGGAAGGTACTGAACGTCTTGGGTGGATCGTTCAGGATCATAGTCTGATCCCAGGGTTTCGCGTAGATCGCATCTTTCCCTGTGCTCTCGGTAAAACCGGAACTCTTAACTTTCCCATTGGGCATCTTTTGCTGGACCTTCAGACACTGGCTAAGACCAATTTCCGGGAACCTGCAGTCGTCGTTGTCGCTCTTCTGATCCTCGACGATTGTTTCCAACTGTTCGAAACGAACGTCTGAGATCTTCTCGTAGATGTCTTCGTCGTCGCTCTGCCCACGGGAGTTTCCCACGTCGTTAGCCACGTGGACTTTACGTTCGTTGGCTAATAGTTTGTCACCGTAGGCGGACGGAAGCGCGACAGGTTTTAGAATCGATTCCAGGTCGTCGGCGTGGATCACCTGCGGCTGTGCTCGCTCGTAAATCTTCTCAATGTGTTTCGGCGTCGCGTAATGGGACCTAGTTACCGACTCGTTCACTATAGTCGTAGCAAATGAGTTCTGTTCACTGGGTTGCTGAAGAGTCGCGTACATGGCATTGTTCGGTTTGAAGGTCGACACGGGATTGATGATCGTGCACTTTACATAATTCTCGTTACCCGTCTGTGATTGATCTTTCCTTGGGATGGCTGGTAGTTTCCTACCTTCGAAAGCATTCGGACCTTGAAAGGTTCTGGGTATCGGCGCCAGCTGGGACTGGTTTTCTAGTTCTTTATTGCTAGATTCAACCTGACCATGAAGAAGAGTCCGTAATCGGGGTGGCTCGACCGGTCCATAAATGCTATCCAGCCTCGATGAGCTCTCTATCTTCGGCTGCACTTTGCAAGAGGAGCGGACAGCCACGCGCTCCTTGACCGTTCGTTCGGGCTCCACGGAATCCGTCGTTAGTTTTTTAAGGTTCCGCTCGTCGCGATACGATCCCTCCATTGGCTTCCCCGGATCGGTTCGATCGGCATCAGAGACCGGTGCCTCGCACGGGAGAAGTGGGCGCTGACTTTCTCCGTCCATATTTGGTAGGGCCGCGAGCTGGCCCGTGAGCTGGCCCGTGAGCTGGGCCGCACGGTCCCCGCTCGACGGGCCCTTCTCGCTGGACACGGTGGTGGGCCTTGCTCGCGGGCTCCTCTCCTCCTTAATAAGCACCCCGGCTCTTTGATTGACGCTCTGCGTCCGCTTGAAAGACGGACGCCTACTGGGAATGATCGTCGACGTGGCTTTCCCAGGCTCCGGCTCGGCTCGGGACTTTGTTTGGTTGGCAAGCCTGTTCTCCGTTACCTTGCTCCTCTCCCGAGTGACACGTGAGTCGAAACTACAAGTGATCTTGGATGAATCCGCAGAGTCCGTACTGAGCTCAGTCTTCCTCGATCTAAAACTCGAATTCGAGAATCCTCTCTGAGGAATTTTCGACGTCGTACCAGGACTCATGTCCCTGGTTGACCTGGTACCGTTCGACCCGCTGAACCCGTAGTCGTTCTGCTTCATTTTACTCCTAGCTGCCAGGTACTCCTTGTAAGTGCCTCTGCTAGTGTTCACGCCAATGCTGACCTTGTCCGCCTTGACCTCGCCCTTGTTACCTTCTCTGTTAAGATCATCGTAGCTCACAGTACCGTTCAGTTTCTCGCCAGCCTCCTCGACCGATCTCGCTCTCGAGTTAGAACTGTTCCTGTACCTGTAGTCGGCACTGCTGTTAGACCTGACCAAGACCTTGTCTTTGACGCCAACAAAGTTCTGACTCTGGGTCTGACTTAGCCACTCATCCACTCTCTTCTGCACCTCGCCCTTCCTCATCAGCAGATCAGGCACCTTGCCAACAGAATTTTCATTGCTCTCCGTCTCCGCCGATGTCTTTCCTGCGGAACCCGCTATCGCGCCGGAAGTCTCCTCCACCGGGACGATCCTCCCGGAGTCCTTCAGTCGATCTCGCGAGCGCTGTCGCACCTGGGTCTGCTGGTTCACTTTTAAAAGAGGCTGCAGTTTCTCCGTCAGGGGCGGACCTGCGTTTCTAGCCGCGGGCGCCATGGGGCTCCTCATCTTGGACTTCTCTCTCTGTCTCTGCTGATCCATTACTGCCTCGAAGTTCGTCACGTCTATGCTGCCCACGTCGCTGAGGTCGGATGATCTTCTGTAGTCAAGATCCTCGTACTCGTCTAGGATGTTATTTACGGACTGCGTGTCTATCGAGCTGGTGCTCTTTGATTTGTTCCTGATCACGCTCTCGTCACTGCTCGAGTATCCATAACTGTTCTCACGGCTGATCTGCTTCTTTGGCGGCACTTTGATCCTCTGATACTTCAGCAAAGCGTTCTCGTATCTTTGCAACGGATTGTCCGCTTCAGGTACGCAGCTATCTGTTCTGCTCTTCTTCAATGCTATTCGCGTACCAGAAACCTCCTTGTTATTGATGCCGACCTCGTTCGAGCTCGCGCAATATTTTCCAGCTACGTTGCTCTCCGTGTTACTCTTCAGGATCGGATTCCGGAAGCTCGTGAAGTTGGCCGCATTTCGTGAAGTAGCTTCACCGCGAGGAGTCACATCAGAATATATCAATTCCTCCTTCGAGAAGATCCGTGATTGACCTCGTCCAGGAGTACTGGCGACTGTTGAGCCATCCTCGTCGGCAAACGGAATACTTCCGCTTCCGGCGCCGCTGCCGCCGGCCGACAAAGCTTTCAGAATGATTTCCTCGCTCATCGTTCTCCGACGCTTCGTTTCAAATCACATCTTGTTTACGAGAGTCTTCGAGCGTCACGTAACAACGAACATTCGGACGTTCAACTGAATTAATGAAAAACAGGACTCGACAGTTTATACGAATACGTCGAAATTATCGCGATGGAAAATTGAATTATTTTTTTTTATTATAACAATACGAGTAACCTTGGTACAATTTTATTCACAGAACCCTCACTGACACCTTCGTTTAGTCCAAAATTTTCACCCTTTTTATAATCCACTTGAAATACTTTAATCACCAACTCCAGGTACTGCAATCTGCAACAGACAAATAATTACAAATATAAAATGACGTTTGCCCGAAAGTCAATAAAGTTTCACGTTCCAGCGTATAAATTTCGCAATGCGATACCCGTTACTGCTTATTGTTTTTGTATTATGAAAACTTAGACGTTCTAACGGCGATGAGTAATTGACTCAACGTTACAGGCTATATATATATATATATATATATATATATATATATATATATATATATATATATATATATATATATATATATATATATATATATATATATATATATATATATATATATATATATATATATATATATATATATATATATATATATATATATATATATATATATATATATATACACACACACACCTATTTTTACATCGATAATTTCATTTTGACATTAAAATAAATTTTTTCAAAACTCGCGTCACGCGTAACTCAAAAGTTTCTTACGATTCAAACATTTCATACGAGCCACACACACTGGATGTCTCCTGGCTCGAGTTCTACTTTTAGTCGAACCTCGTGTGCATACAACTTTTCATAGTATCCACCAGACTCTCGTCCAGTGAAACAGATTGATTCGACGATTATTATAATTAACTTCGTAATGATATTAATTAATTAACCGACATACATAAACAGCTGCGGCTACTGACTACCTGCGTGAAAGTCTCTACAATCCACACACGATACGGCCAATTGCTTTTTACTTAATATCCTATTTTCCTTGTACCAAACACTCAGCCGTACTGAATTGATTACAGGAGAGCTCACGAGACCACGTGTCCCAAAAGATTTTAATCGGAACGACATCAAGCGACGACGATCAACGCTCAAACGAGACTCTAATTGTTATGCGTGTAAACGCGACGTTAATCAGTAAGTCACCACGCGTGTGTATATTTACACATATGACTCCTCGACTTTCATGTGCCGACGTATACTACCCCGACGCATTAGGCCACTGCTAAAAATGAACCTATGATTCGTATCGATCACCATGTGCATCAGTTAACAGATGTGTATGAATAATTCTGTAAGAACGATAAAATCGTCACGTATGGCCCGTGAAGCGTGCGAATCGCAACACCCGGTATAACGAGAGTGCGAGTGCGTTGAAAAAATTAATTGGCAGCTGAGATCGTTTCGAATTCAAAAAAAAAAAAAAAAAATTACAAAAGATGGATAAAAATATTTTTTTTTTAAATTGCAAAATACGTCTCGACAACGTATGACGTAGTTCCGCCACGTGCTTAGCTACGTATATTAAAACAAATAAAGTACCCCTATGTTATTGAGAAGAATTCTCTCTCTCTCTCTCTCTCTCTCTCTCTCTCTCTCTCTCTCAATATCCTCAGCTCCTTCACGACCTGCGGGAATCTCTGGGTAGTCTGGAGATGAGCCAAGAGCCAGCAGACAACACCGGATATATATGAAAGAGTAATATAGCACTTCCTGTCAGGCCACCCTCGCAGAGTCAAGCCTCCCCTTTACGAGGTGAAAGAACCAATCAGGTAAAAGACATAATAACACAGGACAAAAGGTTAAACATAAGAAGTGTAAATTCGCGTGGGCGTCTCGGCCGTGGCACGATTGAGCGCTGCGAAGGCTAATTGCTAATTGGAATTTCGTAATGATCGAGGAGCGTTAGCGAACGATTGCATCATCGTGGAACAGGACCTTTGACCCGATTTAATTAATCAAAGTAACATTGAATTAGATGTACAAGGAATGTCGCCGGAAAGCATCCAGACTGACGACGGTAACGATGCACTGTGGGAATTCGTGGTGAAAAGCCAGAAGGACAAGATCAGTGTTATCGGAAGATTGTGGGAAGATGATAACTGGACCACGTTGTATTTCTAAGCTATACGCCTGAAGATAATACGGCAGACATTAATCTTCTTAACAAATTAGGCTTTGCCTATCGCCAGATAACGCCGTACACCCTTCCGCCGAGTGCTCAATCACGCATACGTTCCACGTATGACGCATGCGTACGTGGGACGTTATCAGTTAACTGGACACCCTTTACATCGAACGTGGAGATAAACAGTGGCACGTAGGGACGATGAAAAATATAGGTAGATCATACAGGTTCGATAATTCAGTTACGTATTTACGTAGCAGATGGATCAATGTAATTTTTTTTTTTTCATACAAGCATGTTGATTAGGAATTTTTTTTGGCAAACAAATTCTCAGCCCAAAATATTTATATATGTCCCACGTGTACCAGGTCCCATGTACTTCTAAGAGCGACGGGTCGTTTCCAGCCGGATATTTGTAAAATTCTTGAAAATCCTCGATAAACATGCATTGACCGAAATTCCTCGTGGCTTTTATTCTTCTCAGTGGTGGGTCAGGGGAACACGAGGGTTCAGGGTCTCTGCGTGGGGCCTTATTCTAGACCTGACTTCACATGTGGGACCCCGGCGCTTCGCTCAAGTACCGACTCTTTTTTCCTCAGGTCTTTTTCCACGTACACGACCGGGGGAGTCGTGCTTGACTTTTTTGCCAAAAATAAACCATGCGTCGCGACCTCCATGTTCTATTAGGTTCTGGACCCTCCTGTGGGAGAGCTGACTCCCCGAGCGAAGTAATAACGTGGGCAATTGGTTTTGGACGTAACATTTTTGTAGAATTGTGCAAATCGTAACTAACCGCTCTACTGGCACAGTGCTGACTGTGGCTCTGCCGGTAAAAAAGGGTTTTCTCAACAGCTAGGGGATTATCGACGGCGCACTGCCGTCCTTGGGTAAACTGGCAATATTGTGCCAAGAATGACGGCGGGTGCTACCGAAAGCCGTATAAAGCGTGGCACGAGCAGCTGCTTGTCGCGGCTATTCATTTATCACGTGACTATTACGCGTCGCTTTACGTGCGCGACTCTCGAAAGTCCAACAAACATCAATTACTTTCCCTGGATTATTAAAGCTTGATGGGTTTCGAATCGACAAGACAGACACAACCGTCGACCACGGCTGATTTGCTTCCACAGAAACGTCGCACTGGTAATGCTACGCTTTTTTAACCTTCAAACGATTCGTTTCTTTTCGTCTGTTTACATTTGTCTTTTTCGTCTCAGCCATCCCCTTACTCTCAACCGACGGCGGATTTGCGCGACGGAATATCGGATGATAAATTGCGCAACGAGGATTCTATGGGCATGACCATACAAAATGGCTGTGCTAGCACTTCGCGCGATGACAGAAAACTCCTTTCGCGTAAGTAGAACGTATTTTTATTAGCTAACGTCGGAAAATGCATAGACACAAAAGTGTATACGTTTATGCATAGGTGTATGCATTTTATGAAAACTACTAAACAATTTTTATTTTTTATAACAGATAAAAATTAAAAGTTCACGACAGTTTTCTTAATTCTCACTCGACCGACCCTTCGGTCTTCTTTGATCTTCCTTTGGAACCGGATACATTCATTAAGTGTGGCTCTTTTCAAAAGTAACCGAGCCGGACTACAAGCAAGTCCATTCATACAGATAACCAGCACTGCGTCCCCGAGCTAGCACTTGCATTGTATGTGAACTCATTCAGAGTACCGATAATCGTAGAGTGAATCGTCGAGCTCGAATGGACGCTGCTTGGCTATGCCGTGATAAGAACATTCACTTTATATTATCCCTGCTCTTCCACAAAGAAATCGAGCGAGGCGTCACGTAGTTATTTTAAGTGACAGTCATTGTCATTGCGAAGTTAATTTTTATATACATCAACTTCAGATAGTGCCAATAATGTTATTGACCTTTCGTTGATCTAATTTAATACAGCGAATTCACAGTGGCTGACTTGACACTTTTATATGACTACGATACAACCTGTTTTCACAATGCTAGAGTCAAAAATTTGTATTGTAAATTATTATTATTTGTATTATTGTAATATTGTATATTATTATTGGTAAAACTCCAGAATTCGACACCTTCTTGAACAGCTTCATGTAAAAAAAAATTAAACAATCCAAGGCTAACTTTAAGAAGATCTCGTATTCTGTAGTTTCGTTTTATTATTTATGTATATCAAGAGAAAAAAAAATAAGGATACTTTACCAATAAAGATACGCTACTCCGTCTCTCTGGATGGCCTTGCAGAAGTAAAAATCACAGAAATTATCTTGGCAGTTGCACTACTGCGTTGGCACTGGGCAACTTCGCGTAAACGAACATTAAGGGAAACGAAGAACCGTTTTCTGGTTTGCCACGACTCCTGCTTGCACCAGGATACCAACTATGGATCACACTATCTCAACGACTTCTCGCTGACACTTGGAACTGTTATTTACGAGAACGCACGTACCGTTTGATTTCTACGAATCACGTGATTTATCGGGTTTACGATGCCGTTGGACAAGCAGCGACGCGTAGGTATGGATTGAACTTACAGGTTAGAATGCTTCTGTCACTGATACCGCTGCCATCTAGGTTATTAAAACACTGATTAAGTCGTTCGTGTAGAGCCTTTGGAGGATTGTTTTGAGTTTTATAAAAGTTCTTCAAACTGACTGGTCTCTATAGCTATTGCTGGAACGAGCCAGTTCTTGTACGTTGAGACTGTTTTAATCCAGCAAAAAAGGTAGGACATTATAAGTTTTTGTCAGAGCTATAAATGGTATGTACATACGTGGGAAAGAAACGTTTCGGAACCTCTACTCTGTGTATTAAGACATATACGATTTGGAATCCATAAAGTCGTACGAGCATGAGATACGTTTATTAAATTCTTTGGATTATATTTGTCAATATATAAAAATCCAGGAGTGACATCTATTTCGTTAAATAATGCATCGCGAGGTTATCACTCGAACAAAAATAAACGTAACAAACAATCCTCCGTGAATATCCGAACGACTGATATCACACAAAGTTTAGAGTATCACAAAACGAAAAATGTTTTAAACAAGACGAAAGAACACTCACAGCACAAAAATAACACATTGAGACTGACAACCCAGCTCGATCTTTACGGTTCGATCCTCACGATCGCGTTCGCCCGTCCCGACTGAAGGTGTTCCTCGCTCGGCCGCCGCGTGGATCGCGTGGAGCGGCAGCACGATCACGATCGGATGTGGATGGACCGGTAAAAAGGCGGGCTAGGGGAAGGGCTGGAGTTGGGAGGAAAAGAGCGACAGCGGGTTGTGGGTATAGCAGCGATGGCGCTGTGGCAGGGACAAGAGAAAGGGTAGAGGCAGAAGCCAGAAGGTAGAGAAGTAACTCGAGCCGAGTCAAGTAAGAGTCGAAGACTCATGGTCGTTCGGTTCTCTCGCGAAGAGGAGAAAGAACCAAATAGAACAGAGGACATTAAAAGAGAATATACAGATAGAGACCGAGTGTGAGTGAACGAGAGAGAGAGAGAGAGAGAGAAAGAGTCAGATCCCAAGACCAGGAACGACGTACCAGTCAGGGGCCCTCTGAGAAACTGAGGCTGTCCATTCCTTTACCGCTCTCTTACTCGCCCTTTCTCACTCTCTCTTTCTCTCTGTCTCTCCTTCGCCCTCTCTTTCAGAGGGGCCCACAGACCCCACGTGGGCAACCGTAGCGTTGTTGTATCCGTACCAAAGCCACACGGTTCCCCTATCTTGCTCATTAACAAAGAATAGGCTGGTTCAGCCGGAGTGTAGTACGATGCACTCGCGCAACGTGCGTGCATGTGACTCAGCTGCACTGGTGAGTGGATCCCATATACGTATGCATCTGCCAATGACTAGACGAGGCAGGAGCGGGACATTTCGAACGAGTCAGTCCAGACACATATGTACGCGCCATTCTTACGTAGCGTCGGGGTAGAGTGTGAACGGTTCTTTAGATCCCTCTGAATGCATTCAGAGCTCGAACCATCCAGTTACCCTTTTGTCAACCATACACCCACGGGTTCGCCATTCTTTGTTCACCCTCGATCATCCGTGAGCGCAATGTCAGCCGAGGTTAAAGACTGTTTCGACGTTACCCGATAGAGACCTACGATACCTTTTTGCCTTTTGGAATGTCTCTTGGTACTTCTAGGTAAACACGCTAAGCCCACACAGAGTGTACCCAGCAGTTTGACTATGGTGCACCGTACACTTCTTCCCCATACGTATATGATATTTCGAACCGGTATCTCCGCCATCCGTATACTCCTAGCCACGTTTGTTTACCTTCTTTAAACTCTCCGGGAATGCCAGCAGAAGAGGACTCAGATAACTTTGGGATTAGAGGCTGTTTCTTTAAACAGTGATTTATGCTGAATTTTCATGGCGCCCTGTATCTACTCTGTTGAATCGTACTACCTGAAAACGGTACTGGCAGACTATATTCACGGCTTCGCGTACCGTATACCTATATACACATAGTACGAATCACCTTTGTTCATGTAATCACTATTGTACTTGGATGCAACGTTCTCCTCTCGACGCCAGATGTGCCGGCAGCAGCCTTTCCACACCATAACGTTGTACTTCACTGCTCCCTCTATTCTTCCACTCTTCTACTCCTCCAGTTCCATCCGATCCTCGATAGGGCACTGCGCACGCCATTCGCGTGTTCCTTCGTATTTATTATTCGAACGTGACTAACTTTCCGCACAGCTCTCGGATATGGAATTCCCCTCTGTGCCGCTCGCGAACTTCCTGAGACTTATCAAGCGAGTCTCATAACTTTGCGTGCGAATATCTTCACAGTGAAAATTCACCGCGATCTCCATATACAATCGAGAGAATTATTTGGCGGGGTAGCATTAGCACGAAACGAGTTTGTCGAATTTCCAAAAATCAACCGATGAAAATTTCACTGATTTTCTTCTTTGAAAATGCACTCGGGAAACTTTTTATTTCATATCTAATCCAATGCTGAGCCAATGATTTCCTTTATAGGAATTCTCTAACGGATTCATTCTGACGTCACCATATCGTTCGTCACATTGTCATGTCGAGTATGAGTCGCTGCTGGTAATACTAATTAGCGACAGTAACGAATAGTGAATTTTAATTAATAAAAGTAAAAATAACGATAACACCCCATTCAAGGGCCCAGTACCATCTCCCAGGTTCATCCAAGGAACTAAATGTACCATAGTCTCGAATATTCACGTACTCTAGATATATTTCTCTCTGCTTCCATCGCTCGTGAATTATTTTATCAATTATTAATAAAGGTCTATGAACGTGTATAGTAATTTTATCTTTGGCCCAAAACCCTACTGAGAATAATAAAAACAGAAATTTATATAAGTGCAGGATGTATAATGGCTGCTAAAATTTCCGACAACGAACAAGGATTGTTGATCACAGAGAACGGATCGCTCGCACTTATAACATCAACATCCGTCGACTTGCTAGACTCGCTGCAAGTTCTACAGACTCACCTAACATCGAAGACCGTTTGTTTTGCTTGAGTCCAACGTGCCGTCTGCGCGTAGCATCCACGAAAGTCAGGGGTGTATCTACGCAACTAGCTTAGGGAGCATGAGATCGGGTATACCTCCGTGACCGTAGAATCTTTTCTCCTAAAGGCCAACGCGCATGTTATCTTACGGATAAATATTTGCTACGCGACTGTATGCTTGCTTACTTCTTCCGATGCTACTTTACTCGCTATGTAATTCAGACTATGCGCCAGCGACTAACAGAGTGTACTGGATGCAGGAGAGAAAGCAGAAACCTACGTCTGACGTCGATCCGCTGATGGAAATATGCCCGAGGCACTTCTAGGTCGTGCACAAACGTTCCTGCCACTACGTTACTCCTGAGCATGCTGCCTCTTCGGCTAATGGCCCGTTACGTTTATGGTGCTACGTAGAATTAGGGCTATTTAAATGAATACCTTTACCGAGAAAACGGCCGTTTCTCCTGTCATCTGCACTTTGGAGGTTAGTGTCTTTATGCAGGCTATTTGGCCTTACGTGCGTTTCTCTTGGAAAACTTTTTACAGGGAGTGATCTATGGGCAGCATTGTTGACCTGGAGCCGATATGTCTTACTTCAACGTACTTCATCGCAGGGGGTAGTATTTTCCGAGATCAGTTCACAAGGGATGCTGTATTTTTTACGAACTTTTACATAACGGGTAAACTGTCGTGGGAAATTAAATTTTTTATTTTCTTTTATAGCCTAGATAATTAAAAAAAAAATTCTTTTATCTTTGTTTTTGGTCGTATTTCCGTAAAAAAAATTAATAGAGGTGGAAATAAAATTTTTGATCTTTTTTTTATACCCTAATGTATAAACCACCAGCCAATAGCAGTTTTCGAACAATTCATATCCAGCATTCGAAAATTCAACGGTACGCAATTTCAGTTCTCGCGAGAACCCATAGAGAAGAAACGTACACGCTGCTTAAACCAATGTGTCAAACTGTACATAAAATTCGGGCAAAACGGCGGAAATCGAATGTAAAGTTTCAGCAAACGGATGACTTTACACCCAAGATGTATTTAACGTACACTGATTCAATGCATATATGTATATTTTCATACGGATGTATATGTATATAATATATGTATACATTTAGTAAAATATATACTCTATTAAAAGGTACACAGCATCCGGCCTACAAGATTAGGATCATTTGAAAGGGATAACTCCTATATATCAGCGTCATCATCGACTTCCGGTAAAATAACTTATATAAATTATATCACATTTCAATATGTGAACTCTGTAACTATATATTCATATCGTTTTCTTAAATGTGTCATCTGTCATCAAGATATTGGACGTTGATACAAATTCCTCTTGGTTCCAGTGAGATCTCGTTACTCTCGTAAACATCACTCGCGTCGTTAAAGGTACGCATAAATAGATTACTCGAATAAGTCTTGGCGGGTTTCATGGGTCTCTTCGTGCAGTTATCGATAAGCCAATGCTGTGTGACGGAATGATTATTTACCAAAGGAAAAAAAAAACAATTAAAAAAGTTACGAAACTATACCAGGTACCTGTTTAAACGGACACGGCGTAATAAAACTGTATTCCCCGGATTTTGAATTAAAAAAGTATCCTCGTACACTGTAAAGCGTACCGGGTGGTACAAGAAGTTCTCCAACGGGTTCAGTGAGATTCCGAAAAACTACACGTTTCTGTAACAATTGACCGACGAAGTTTTCGGCGTTCTCAGCTGTGAAAATTATTAATGCCGCCATTTTGTGACTTTTCATTGTTTTTAATAAAAATTATTTTTTCCAATTGGACTGTACTCGTCAACGTGGAATCTGGTCGGTGAATTAATATGTCCCACGTGTCATATTATATTCCTCATGGTACTTACTCCTGTGGGATGATTTCCTGGAGGAACTTCTACTTCGGCTGGTCTTCTGCAATTCAGAGAGAACGGAAGGGAAGACGGAGAACAAAGCGGAAGTAAGATTGACAATTTAAAAAAAAAAAAAACGAAAATAAAAATTATAGTAAATGAGAAAAGGCCTATTCTGTCTGTGTGTGTATATATATATATATATATTTATTGTATTATATTGCGAACAATGAACTTGCATCGCGTGAAGATAATTGTAATGATATAATAACAATGCTAATTTCTTATCGGCGAGCTGCCGCGCTTTCGTAGGCTGCACTTATCACTTTCTCATTCTCTAGAAAACAGACAAAATATCCTTTCTGTCGTTTTCCATACGTTGCTTCGTTCGATCCTTTCATTTTCCTCGCAGATAACTTCACTTGCGATTTCGTAGGCCTACCTTGGGTCTCTTTGGGTCCTGCAGAGACTCCTGGGACTTCTTCAACTCGTTCATCACGTACTGCGTGTCCTCGGCTTCCATCTTCGAATTTCTGGTATCGCCGTATGTATTCACGCAGATCAACTTAGGGCAGCCAGCTTTCTCGGTGATCAGGCACGTCTATATGCAGAATTCGAAGCGTTAGGTTCGACCATTTTCAGAAAGACAGCTAAAGCTAATCGGACTTATCGGAAAAGTCTTTGACGGACAAGAGAATCGAAGGAGCAGAAGGGTGCAAGAGAAAAGGAAAGACAAAGATCGTGAGAAGAATCTTGATCAGAGCTGAGGAAAATGATAACAGGCTAGATCCTGGGAATCTACTGCAACTCGAGTTAAATCCTTTTTCTTTTAAATCCTTTCGATCGAAGATAGAAACGATTTTAATTCACTTTGACCGGTCGCGCCATCCGTGGAAATCAATTGAACTACACTCTGTATGTATATTCTCATTAGGTACGTATGGCCTGGTATTCTTCTTGCCAGGGTATCATTAGTGCGATTGGAATTTAAATTAGTAACCTTAGACTCGTCAGGGCAGCAGTCAGCCTGGGTTGGTGCAAAAGACCTTTTTGCATAGTTGCAGCAGATGGCGATGGGGTACGTCAGGAAGAATATGAGGTTGAGGAAGAACTCGACTTTCCTGCGAAGAGGAATAGGAAGGATTTGAATGTCCTCGAGGTGTCTTGGATCTTTATTGAAAAGTGTAAGAGAGAAAGAGAGAGAGAGGGTTCGATTGGTTCACCTGTTGCAGATCCGCACAGTCCTTTGTCCCGTCTCGGGATGAACGGGAACACCAGCGCTGTCGGTAACCAAACACCTGCATTTAAGTTCAGGCTCAAAGTACTCGTCCATCTTGCTGCCCTCCAATAAATGATCCAAGCCCCATCGACCCACTGCAGGGGCAAAAATACCGATCAGCCACTTCAGCATTCCTGAAATGAGAAGGTATAGGGCAAGCCTGAGAAACCTTGTCGACACGACTTCCGGCACGGGACTTCCTGTCACCAGGGCTTCTTGTTCCCATCTGCACACTAGAGGCATACCTTACTACCCTACGATGATATCAACTTTCCAAGTATATGGCGGATGTGACGTTTAAATGATATTAAACTGGCGCCTACCTAGAAGCAGCAGCAGCAATATCATCAAGGCGCTGAAGATCAGTACATCTCGAACTGTGTTCATGATCATGGACGACTCTGTGGACGTGACAGGAACCGGTCCTTGGAACCCAGCAGCGTGATAATGCTCTGGCGACATCGGTTGACATCCAAGTCCAGTGACGCTACCGACACAGGCGCAGAGACAGTGCCAGACGCAGAAGCAACGGTCCATCTTTTGCACCCTTATCCTCCTCATTGCGACCAGTTCACCATGATGATTCACCACCTCGACTGTCAAATGTCTTACGTGAGCGTTATCTGTTCATGCATAACAAGGGGGTAGCCAGGGTACGAAGATTCCTACAGGAAGTGCTATCTAGATTCTACTCGAATGGAAAGAAGACTTAGACTTCGTAGGAAGGAAGTTTCTCTTGGAACTAGTACTAGGACGTTCTTTCTCGTCGCCACGGTCCTACACCATCTGGTCGACTGCAGTAGCCATTTGAAAATCCACAAGGGGGATATGGAGAATCGATTATCACGGATTTCGATTCTTGATTTGCGGTGTCGCTAGAGTGGCCCAGTTTTACCCGGATCATTATTGCGCTACGAGTAAAGTAACTCGAGCACAGTGAAGTGCGCCCAGGTGAAAAGTGAACTGAAGTGGCACCGTAAACCGAGAGTCGGTTACCTCGAAGTTTATTCGATCGGAGAGACGGAAATTTCATTCGAGTTTAACGTTACGATCCAGTCTGCGCTTTATCGACGTGCAAACGTCCGCGATAACACATTGGCTGCTGTTTAATCGCGAGTCCCAATTTGCAAATGTACCATTCGCAAACTACGCGACTTCTCTCTTCATCCGTTCATCTCGATTTCGATAAACACACCGATCGATGATGCACCAACTGGATGCAGCGCGGGAAAACGTTGGGGTAACAAATTTGTTGAAAAAATATATTTAAGCCAATGTCAATTATCATTACGTTTGACGTAGGTCAAAGTTCACTCCACGCTGTCATGCATACGTAGTCTAGTCTGTATTACAGAAATTTATACTTACCGGAACAATGGAAACCGTTGATGTACAATTGACCATATAAATCCAATGTGACTCTTTGATCGTGCTGAGGTGGAATAACCTGTACTGTTCCTTTGGCTTTGGTCCAGGATACTGGCAATCCCGTAGGACAATCACTGATCCTCGGTTGATAGGGAGAAGATGCCAAACCCATATTGCTGATTACCACAGTCACTATAGTGTGCTCTATGGCAGTGCTATCTATATAAACTTCCGTAACACGACCAGATGATCTATAAACGATAGAAGAGAACTGATCTTTCAATATTTTATTTCCCCTTGTTTCTAGATGTTACTTCGATCATCGTTTCAGATGAACCAGGTGATCCGTTCGGGTATAATAAACTTACCCAACTCTGACAATAGCATTGTAGTCAGCTCTGACTTCTATGTCAATCGCTGATACATGTGGCGAATGATACTCCAATCCTAAAAATTCACGACTCGCACTTCCGCTCACGTTATATTTAATAGGATTGATCGGCACAGAAGCAAAGTTGCTCAAAAAGTAACAACCTGGTCTACCGGCTTCTCGCGCTTCCTGTAAAACACGTCATGGTCAATAGCATCTTATTATAATTCATATCAGTGATATCGATCGTACAAAATTTCCACCTGTCATCGTACTTGGGAGGAAAAAACTTTTAGCCGATACGAAAAATTTATGAAAGTTTACCAGTCACTCATTCTGACGTACCATGTCGTGTCGCCAATAAGCTAAAGGCTGATTCTTGAGACAGGTCCCTTTCACGTGTCCACATCTGTCTGGCTGCATTGCGAACGGAGTAAACCCAACTCCGGCTTTGTCGCATTCGTTTCCGTCTTTACTGATGGCATTCGCACCGACTACCAAGTACTCTCCAGACCCACCTGCGAATTCAATTTTGAATTGATCCATGTATGATGAAATTATATTTGAAAAATATTGGTAATAAAATGCCAATAATCGTTATTGATCACTGTAAAATTACCTTTCAGTGCTGGATATTTTTGTACTTTTTCCGGTGCCACTGGCGACGGCACTAATAGACGCTCTTTGCTGGGATTCAAATTATGCGCGCGCTTTTGCGGTGCGATTCTTGCGCCGCTGTACGTAAACACTATTGTGGGTACACTGTCCCTTTGATGTCTGATGAAAGTTCCCAGCCTGATGAGTGTAATTTATTTTTTTAGTCATCAAGCAAGAGTCGACTAATTATAATTTGGTATTGATCGATCATTTACTAATCCGATGACACTTGGCAATTGGCAATCATCCATTATTACCTAACCATTGAGCCTTGAGTAAGATCGTCCCAGTGAGTAGTCCCGTCGGGTAAGGTGTGCTTCTCATAGAGCTGCAGGTACACAGTGTGCTCCATTATAGGATTTTCCAGCTCATATACCGAGTACCTAAAAAGTCACGAACAAGTTTTATTTTCAATATACTTAATCAGGGTTGGTAATCGTTACTTACCATACATCGCTAAAACGCAGACAATGAGCAGATTCTAAATATTTGGCAGGATTTACATTGGACGGATGTCGCCGATCCATGCAATCTTGACCTCCACGAACTTGAGCACCTCCAGCACGGATTTGTCTTTTTCTTCGAATGCCACTTTTTTTCTTTTTTCTTTTTTTTCGCTGGCGAACACTGCCATTCACGACATTAGTTATCGTCCCGGACGCAGTACCGGGTGCTTCAAAATTATTAATGAAACGAGTATCCTGATCTTCCGGAACGTTTAACAAGTTTCTCTTGAAGGGCCACCATTTCTTCTTCTTCTTCTTCTTCTTCTTCTTCTTCTTGTGCTTTCTTTTCTTGTGGTGTCGTCTTTTCTTCTTTTTTCTTCTGAAAGCCGCCGCTTTCGCTTTCGAACGTCGCGCGTGCTTTGGCCTCTCGTAGGTGGCGTCCTTACCGGAAGGAAGTTCCTTGGTGATATATACCTGTTTATTCACTTCACGTTTTTCATTTTGAATTTTATCAGCTTGTCCTTCAACATCTTTTCTCCTTTCACCGTTCGACACTATTTTCATGTCCTCCGTTCCCGCCACTTCGGATTCAAATTCCCGCGCTTTATTCGAACCTAAAGGTGCATCCATATCTGAAGCCTGAGAGTTATCCGGATTTATAGCGTGTCCAGAATCCTTATGGACATTTTGGTCGTCTTGCAATTCCTTGTCTTCTTCCTTCGTCAACGGGTGATCAATAGGTACCGATGACAAATCCAATACCTTGTCACTGTTTGTCGAATCGTCAATTAAGTTTTCGTAGTCTCGATCCCTTACCGATTTTCCACTTTCTTCTCGAATCAAACTCGCTAACGAATGATGATTATTTACATTGGAAACGTCCATCAGGTCGCTGGCTCCGTGGTTATTATTTTCCTGACGGACCAATGGCAGCAGTGGCTCGAAATTGGTAAGATCGGTTCTCGTTTGACTCGATTTCTCCTTCAGATTTTCATCCTCCAGATCGTGCAATCTGTCGTTTATCTTCTTTTGCACAACGTATAACAGTTCCTTCTCTCTCTTAACACTTTCCTCTCGAAGTTTTTGAAACTCTGCGAGCTCCTTACCGAGTTCGAGGTTCTTAGGATTGTATTTGGAATCGGTCTGCTTCTGGGTTACGCCGCCACCGGAAGTCGAAGCGCTCTGTAAATCGGCCCTGATTCCTTCCCACTCGGACAACTTTTTCGCCATCATTTCCTTCTTCAGCTTCTCATGAACTCGCATATTGTAACTCTCCGCGTCCTCGTCCTCCGAGTCTTTGTCCTCCGCGCTAACGTTCTTCAAAGACTCGTTTGATATTCTTTGTACGTCTGACTCGTTCCCAAAGATTTTGAATTCCATGTCCGGATCTGACGTCATGAACTTTGAGGAATTCATTGCCGTGGTCGCTGGTTGCATACTCGCGGAACTCTTGGTAGCGTTGAGTTTCTCGGGGACACCATTTTTGTCACCGTCCAACTTAATGCTTTCTTCGGAGAATAATTCGAAATTTTTTAATTTAGGTGCTTCACTCATTATACTTTTAATTTCTCCATGTGGATTATTCTCCATGTTCGTTGCTCGAAGAGGATCTGGATCTAGATCCGAATATCTACTACGTGAGTTAAGGTGGGACGATCGGCCTTTAACTCTTTTAATTTTTGGCTCAAAATTTTCAATAAATTTTAAATTGGTCCTTCGATTTTTTATTTTAGATTCCTTGCTCTTACCACGTGATGAGATGTTGTTATTGAGTTTTTTGGATTTTAAAAAGCTTGGTATATGCTGTTGTCTGTAAAATAAAAATGACTTGTCGTTTCCATTGTTGATACCGGAAGCTAACTTATTTGAAATTGACGATGATTTCTCTCGGTTAGAGTTATTAAAATTTTCGGGTAGGTCAAGTTTGTTATTTAAAATTTCTTTGAACTTTGGATTCTCAGTTCTATCCGTTTCGTCGTGCTTTACTCCTTCGCCCATCATTATAATGTGATCGGTGGCTGTCTGTATTTCGCCATCGTCATTAGGCTCAGGCTGTGATTGATTTTCGGGAACGAGGACCACTCTTTCCAGCTGTACGACTGATCCATCATTTTTTTTATTTTGATCACCTTCATTATCCCCACTCATCATATTTTTTACTTTTCTCATAAATTCCATAATCGCCAACATATTTTCAACTTGAGCCGTTTTTTTACCATTATTCATAACATTATTCATCGTGTTATCATCAGGCCTCAATGTTGTCGTACACCATGGACTCGAATTACCTTCCTTCGAATCACAGAGTTCTGGTACTTTTATTTTCGAATCCAATCTACTGTCACCTGCATCGAGCTTATCTTGTAGCCTGTTTCCACTTTCCAGATTCGTAAAATTCAATTTCGATCGCAGATCCGATTTTACGTTTCCTTCACGATTTCCGGGCTGGCTCTGATTCAATTCAAATCGCCGTTTTTCGTGATCAGAATTTCCATAGCTTTTCTCTTGATTTTCTCTTTGACTTTCGCGAGCTTTTCCAAGCCAATTTTTATAGTTGAACTCATCCAAAGACAATGGCCAGTTCTTTTGATTTGGTCCAGCGTGAATTTCTTCCAGCATCGTATGATTGAATTTTGGAAATTTGGAAATTTCATCAGTCCTGTATCTCTCGTCATTATTACTCGCTGAACCGGATGCTGAGCTTGAGATCATTTCCATAGATCCACTCTTGGGCTTAACGGTAGCAGTTTTTATAAATTTCTCACCAGATCCAGGAAATCCCTTCTGTTTTGAATTATGTCGATTATCTTCACATTGATTAGAATCTTGATTACATTGATTATCTTGATTAGATTCCGTGGTTACGTTTAAGTGCAATTGCATTAATACAGTTTTCTCATCAATTAAAGGTTCATCCATCTTTTTCTGAGTGATCTTTACTCGGATCAGAGGAAGCACGTCGAAATCTTTGGATTTATCTTCCTTTGACATATTCGTTTCACAAGAATTCGGATCTTCATCAAGCATCTCATAGTCAGTTTGATTTAAATCTGGTTTTTCAATTCCGATGAGTCCCATAAATTTAACATTTACCGACGGATGATCGATAGAACCGTGACCTTCGTCAAGGGAATTCTTAAATCCATTTTTACACAATTCTGATCTATGATTGGATAACCTATTGCAGTTTTCACTAGAATCTGACCTATATCTCCAATCATTCTTATCAGTGACCTTAAGTACGTCCGATTCGTCTTCGTCCTCTCGTACATCAAGCGGCTCTATTTTTCCTGCCATTTTCGTAGCCGCAAGTGTTGCTTCCTCTGAATTTGGCATTTCTGAAGTTATCAGTCTACTTTTCTCCTCTCTATCTAAATTTGATATCTTCTCCGGAGAGTATCCTGGTACAGCATGCGCAGTTGGTCCTGCAAACTGAACTGGTATTATCTTGACAATTTTAACAGCTGAACCTGGAACTATATCATCGCGATCTAATTCATTATTGACGAATCCCGTAGACTTTGGATCAGGATGATGCTCAGTATGTTTTTTCATTCTTTCGCTACGTTTCCGTGACACGCGACGTGGAAGAATAAATGTTTTTCCAAGAATCGAGGAAACCGGAAGTATCCTCGAGGGAGATTCCTGGTCGACCTCAGCGAACCAGGACGTGTCTAACTTAGCGCCGTTGCCAAAGTTTTTGACCAGTGACGTTTTCATGAATTTCGAATACCGTTTATCGGCAGCCGAAGGATTTTTTTCATGAATTTTACTTCCCCTTTTGCAAATTTTTCCGACATTTTTTGTATTTCCTTTTTGTGACCTTGTCGATTCTCTTAATTGATCGACGAATTTGTCATCGCTCGTAATCGAATTTCTACCAAGAGGAATGGCAAATTTGTGCCGACCTTTTAAAATTTTTTTTCGATTTTTTTTCGACTTTTTTACCCTCTCAATGTGAGTATCGCGCAATTGCTTTTGTGAGATATTGCCACTTCCGGTAGTTTGCGCATTTACATTGGCTGATTCAGGTGCGGCGTCGATACTTATAGATAATGGCTGACCGTTAGTTCCGCCGTCGATGTGAATTTTTCCATTGAGGGAAATTTGAAAATCGCTATCGTTTTCATCGGCGACTGAAAATCTCTTGTTTCCGGTTGAATTACTTGGTTTGACATCCTTTTTATCGATCGTCCTATCTTCGCTGGAAACGTTTGACGATTCCGGGATTTTTCTTTTAGAACTTTTCAAACTATCTGGCTCGCGGTCGCCTTCCATGAACGGATAAAGTCTTCTGCTATTTATGGAAATTTTTCCTCCTGGAAAATCTTCCAATTTTTTCCTCAATATCATACGACGCTCTACAGGAGTATCGTTAACGTCTTCGTCATGGACCACTTCCTCCTCTACCTCAGAATCGTCCTTAGATCCATCCACATCCTGTTCCCGGAAATTTCTATTTGATCCATTCACAATTTCATTAAGGTCTTCATCATTATCAATCGAGTCGTCCCTTTCTTTGATATACTTATCAGTGCTCCAATTTTTATAATCTTTTAATTGCTTTTCAGAATTATCTTGATCTTCAAAGTTATGCATGTTGCTATAGTGACTTATCTTCTTGGCCATTTGATTAATATATTTATCAGCATCATAAAAATGTAATCTTTCCATATTACTCCTATTGACGCTCAAGGGCATATCGTTATCATTATCATTAACGTTATCATGCGCTTTTCGTTTTTCAAAAATAGGTTTCCTAATCATGATCTTACTCGCCAAAACGTCCCAATTTTCTTTCATTTTTTCACGCTCGTTTCTCTTATCAGGACTGTCCAAGTAGTTATTATTCTCAGAACCTACGTTTGGTCCAGCATCTTCGTCTTCTGCGATTAGATCATCTTCATCGGCGTACCACTGTGCGTAATCTTGGTCCGTGTTATCTTTTGAATATTTTGTCTTTTTTGATTCCTGAATAGCCAAAATTCTTCTACCATTTCGTTTGAAGTTTCTCTTCTCTTTTCTCTCGTCATGTGGATCCCGAATTAGATCTTGATTATTTCCCAATGACTCTGAACCTTCGTGAGGTATCTCCTTTTCATAGATCTTGTAAATCTCTGGCAATTTCTGATCTTGCTTTATTACCTTTTCGTCTCTCGGACGATCCTTTTCGATCAATGATATAATGACGGCGTCGTTATCGACATCATATGAATTTTTTATCGAGCCCTTTCCATGCTTAATATTTTCTAAATTAGACGACGGCATTTTATCATTATCCACGGAATCCATAAATCTCTTCTTCTCTTGAACATCCGGTGTATCCGCATCTGGCAAAATAATCCGCTCTTTGTCATCCGCTAATCCGTGTGCTTTTGCTCCTCCCACATTAGCATCGACGGAATTATTTTTTGTGCCGGCAAAAAATTTCATATTTTTAGGTAAAATTGATGACCTGCTCGAGAAATTATTATTGAAATTAATTTTGTCCCTTTTGCTCTCATTATCATCGAACGAAGTTCCCTCGATAAATAATTCCGTGGTGCCATTCCTCGTGGTATCCTGACTGTAAAGGATCTCAAGAAGAAACGGAAGTGACGTAATGCCCGAAGAATTGTACTCACTGTTACTTCTGTAGGTCAGTGAACTCTCATGATCCTGAGCTTCGGTGGAATCTTCCGACTTCGCCAAAAACCGAGCACTCTCGCCGATCCGACGATGCTCGTGACTTTTTTTATTTTTGAGTTGCAAACTCCCAGAATCAACTTTCTCACTTATTGGGTATTCAAAGCGATTTGTCTGATGCGTCGCGACGCCGAGCGTCACTAACTTTCCCAAGGATTCAACTTTCTTACCGCCGTTCCGAACTCCCTCGCCTTTCTTCGCAAGAGAATATCTCTCCTCCTCCATACCGCCATCTTTATTCTTGGAGATCATCGCCTCTTCCGGAATTTCATATCGATCCTCATACTTTCCCTTTCCGGTTCCACAAGCCGGTAATATCTTTCCGGTAGAGCATCCGTTATCGTGACCGGAAGCTGGCGTTTTTGTTTCCTCAAGACATTTTGAGGTCGTTTCCAGTTTTCGAGGTGAAAAATGATTCAATGATTTATCAAGCACACTGACCTCTATGGTAGTATTTTCATAGTTAGGATTTTCAAAAGATTTTTTATTTTTTATCTCGTCATTCGATATCGTCCTCAACGTATTTGAAATATCGATGCCAACACCGCTCGCGGAATTTGCTGGAAGAATTGCAAAATTTATTTTAATTTCACTAGTAGATTTTCCATTCGGCGAATCACTTCCGTTCCTGATTACAATATCCTTATCATCGGCAGATATCTTTTCCACGTTCAAGTCAATATCCGTTGGAAGTAAATATTCCGGTGTAACAACATCGTGGCTCCAGTTCAAATATTCTTTAAGGGCATCCGCATGCTTTTTTAATTTCAATAATTCCATCTTTGCCTTCCACTTTTCGTTCTTTGCATGCTTCATGAATTTAGAGTGACACGAGTCACTGGATCGCTTCACAATTTTCCGACCATTATTTACATGCGACTTCATAGGATAATACAAATTTGTATTTCCGTCGTTGAATATAATTTTTGAAAATTCTTTATTCGGATAGAAATTAATATTCAGTTTTTCATCGTCCCTACGAGTCTCGCCTATATTGCTCTTTTTAATATTTAAAATCTCCTTTCCCCCTCGTGCAAATTCTATTATCCCACCCGCCTCGGTACCCATCAAATTTGAAATTCCATCATCGGCAGTGCCAGTTGTCTTTGCCGATGATTTAAATTCCCGCCTTAAATTTTCACGATTTTCATTTCTTCTTCCGGTCCATTCCCCGGAATTTTCCCATTCGTCTTTCTCGAATTCTAATTTATAGGCAGCCTCGGTACCGACCAAATTCGACACTCCATCATCAGTTGTCACGATCGTCACTCCCGTCGAACTCGACTTCCTTTCGGCGATCCTAGATTCCTCGAACTTCTTTTTATACAGTGAACCTACTTCCTGGGGATAGTAATCGTAATCGTAAAACGTTAATGCACCGTTCCTGGTCTTATTACCGAGTGCTTTTCTACCGAGTAATAAAAAGCGCTTCCTTAATCTTTCCAATCCAAGTCCTTGGTTCCTTGCGTGTATCCCACCTAAATTACCAAGAATGCTTTCGGGAGCATTCAGATCATTATTTCCAGAAAGAGAGTACTCAGCATCCCGATGTACCATATGTTTCATCTTACGATCATTATCTTTTTTTCCAAAATTCACCCCTCGACGGGAATGCGTGCGTCGCTTAGAAGACTTTTTTGGAACTCGGTAAGCTTGCAAAAATCTTCTTGTTTTTATACCGAGACTTCCGACATTCTGGCTCGTCCTGTCGACGACCTCAGGAGCGCCGTTGATCTCGTTCCTCAGAGACACCGGAAGTTCCTCAACGGATACGACAGGGTCGTCCATTCCGTTCAAAATATTCGAGGTGGACGTAGCGAAAATGGCTGAGAGAATTTTTCCATTTTTCTCTACCTCTGTGTCCGTTACCATGGACTTTCCAAAACTTTCGTATCTCTTAAGGCGAGGAGACTCGAAAATTTCTTGGACGTCAACTACCGGTTTAATTAGAGCTGCGGCGCATTGCTGGCTCTCCCTGAGCTTTGGGTCTTCCTTAATGGCACGTCCCTTCTCGTTAGAAGTCCTGGTAACGGGAAGACGTAGATAACTCGTGCGGGAGATTGGACGATCATCTGGAGAATTCTGATAAGACGTATCTTTCGAATCTTCCAGGACGTTATTATTTTTATTATCGTAATGCAAAATTGGCACTCGAGTACCAACCGATCTCTTGAGACGTTCAAAATTTGTATAATTTTTTACTATAAAAAAATCCGAATCGTCAGCATCTTCCAGACTGTTGATATCAATGATTGCGTCGTGATTGCTTTTTTTGGTATTAAAATATTGCGCAAGCACGTCGCTCGAATCGAGCTTCTCGGCAAGTGCTTTCCTGACTGCTTGCGGAAATTTATATTTTCTTAAGTAAACGTTTGGATCCTCCATGTTACCGGAACCCGTAGCAATCCTGATACTTTCCGGAAACGAGCTGCCGTTGCCGATCTTCAGATTTTCCGAATCGACCGCATTCAGTTCCGCTCTCTGACTACACGTATCGACCGAATAATACGATTTGGTACGAGGAAAGCTGCGTTTCCATGGTGCTTCAGGTTGAATGTGCAATGGAATCCGAGGCGAAAAGTTTTTCTGAAAAGTTTTCGTCGTCCCGGTGAAAACTCCAGGACTCGTCGTTCGCGTCGTTCGCGCCGTTGTAAGCGTCGGAATTTCTGGACTTGTCGAGTAAAGAATTTCTTTAGTAATACTTGAACCCGACTGGCTACCGGAATACGTGCCGGACGTTTTCATTTCAGGATCAAGAAATCCAGGCTTGGCTACTCTCGACCAAGTTAATCCCTCTTTCGTGTCCTCCCTCCGTTGGCTAACAGTATCCGGTAGCTTATTTTCAACGTTGGGATCGCAGACCTTCTGTCCACTATGAACAAAGTTACTAGGGTTCACTGACTCGTCGGCCATCTTGGATTTTAAAATCCCTAGGTACCCGAGGCCAGGTAGATCGTTCCTCGTGAACGAGCCCTTAAACTCTGAACCAGCTTCTCCCTCTTGGAACTCTTCGTCATCCATTCTGAATCGTTCGGGTTTTATATAGAACGGAGAACGTTCCATGACGATTTTATCCTCCTCTATTTCCGGTTGTCGTGCCTCAAAATTACTCTCGCTATAAACGTTTGGATCAGCGTCGATTCCTCGATAGATTAACCCGTCCCTATTGGCTTTAGGGAAAAGCGTTTCCTGCGATTTATCACTAGGATACGAAAGTAAAGAATCCAGTGACTTTAAAATCAACGTATTTTCGCCTGACTTCGTTATCGATTCGTTTGATATTTCTGGCATTAATTTTATACCTGACGACTGGTCCACGAGCATGATCCTGACACCCAAAGGTCCACTATCAATTTTCTCAGTTTCAATAAAATTCTCTGTCCGCGACCCAATGGTAGAAGAGGGACTGTTATGACGTATACGTAAATCTTGATTTTCAATAGTTCCCGTTGTTTCTCTCGATTCGATATCAATAATATCCTTAGACGTTATCATATCTTCATTATTCAAAACAGCCGTTGTCGAAATACTCATTTTTTCAGGCAACGTACTCTCCGTTACAGTGTATCGAACAGTATCCTCCCGACCAGGTACGGAAGGCAATGAAGGTCTAGTAACATTTGACAAGGTAGAGTCATTCCTTAGTTCAGATTTAGGAACTAGATCGCTAGTAACATTTTCTTTTAAGATTATCTCGCCCGGAAGTGACGATCCTTCCTGCTGATCGATATCAACCAATTGAGGTACAATTGCCGAGGAACGTTTGTTATTAGCTAAAGTCTCATCTTTTTTATCATCAATTTTACTAGTACCTTCCACAGTCATATTTCTCGCTACTTCGATGCCGTTGGCATTACTGCTTTTCCTGTTCATGAAAGATGTACTTGACTCCGTAACACGTACGTCATGGCGATCGTTATATTTCCTGCCCGCCTCAGGAATATCCAACGTTACTCGCGATCTGAGCGCTGGGGATGTAAATAAAGTGCTATCAGTTCTTTGCGAAGCTCCCTTCAAATAGAACGACGGACGTTCTGCGATTTGCTTAATTGTCGCTTCCATTGAGTTCACATTAAGCGTCGTGCTGGGCCGGACGAGGGTTTTGTGCCTTCGTGTTTTCGTGCTCGACAATGTCGTCACCGAAAGCTGTGCTTCCGTTGAACTCGCAATTCTTGCATTAGGGTTTACGATCGATGGAGAAATTGCCTGGTTTGAATTCGCGTGCGAGAAAAACGGCTTCGTTTTCTTCTGTACTTTTTCCGAAAGCGGCACGTAACGTATTCGGTATCCATCGGAGGGATAAGAGATGAGATCATCCTTCCGACCTGATTCGAATTTTCGAAAAGTTGAATGAACTGGCTTGTTGGATCTTTGAAAGTTATTTACACTGGGTATTCTGTTTAAAGCTATAGCGAAATTTCGAAATACCGAATTGTCGTCTTTTGAAATTTTCTTTTTTTCATTTTGACTCGTTAACTTTACGTCGTTCGATGCCTCCTTCAGGGCTTTTGAAATTTCCACGAATTTCTCGTCGATCTTTTTATCGATTTTTATCTCGCCCTCGTTCTCTTTGTTATCCAATGGATTCTCGTAATTTATCGAACGAAAATTACGTTTTGAATATCCGTCGGCTCTCCGAACCCGGTGAAAATTTTTCTCCGAATTCTTGTACAGATCCGTACCGTGCACGGTCTTCTGCTTATTTTCCTGATCCTCTTTGGCTTCCATTTTCTCTACAGATCCTTTAAGATGTTTTCGAAGTGCCTGTTCACGAATGCCATCCTGCTGCTCCTCCAATCTCGGTTCAGTCGCGGCGTGTTCTCTTCCATTTTCATCCAGGAAAATGTAATCCTGCTCAGTAAGCATGCTCGGCGCTTCAAGGCGATGTTCGTTTATAACAGTGGCCGATTGGTCCTCGTAGCGAAGATTACCTTTTACCAAATCGAAACCACCCGATAAAACAGTAAAGGATTCTTCAGAGTCCCTATCGCTCGTTTTACCTGGCACCGCATATCCTTTATCAATAGCGACGCTTTCCACGTCCGGATCTCTGAGGTCATCGGCGTAGCTACGACTTTCATGACTTTTCGCTTTCTCAGACCACAGAGACCTTTTTCTTGGTCCTTCTGGCCAATCCTCCAGAGTCCCAAGATCAACGTAACTTTCCAAGTTAGTCTCTACTAAAGTGTCCCTGTAACGTTTCCTCCTGCTCTCCCCCCTCGAATTCACTTTGGTCTTATCTCTTTGCTCCTTACAAGATAACTTCTCCACGGTGGGAGCCTTCGAATGACCTTCCACGCTCAAACGAACCGTTTCCGCCGGTCCCGAGACGAGTCCCGGGGTTGTCCCTGAATATACCAATCGACCGAGTGCACTTTGCCCGTGGTTTTCAATTTGGGTAATTCGATCAGTGAACTCGACTTCCGTTTTGACTGGTTCTAATATTCGTATTGGATGTACATCCGCTTGGTCGACGCTTTCAAGCTGTTTGCTGGAAACTTGAAAATTTCTGGTGACTCCCGAGGGACTTTCGTTATGGGTGATGTCGCGCGAAATATTCTTAAGACTTTCTGAAGATTTCGCTAAACTTTTCTCACTGCACTCGCCGAGCTCTTCAGTCGATGAATTCGAAGAGTCTTTTTGATTGGATTCTTCAAAATGTCTATTTGTCCTTGCGGTTATTAAACTTGAGTAATTAAGTCTCGCAAGCAACGGATCCTTCATAACTCTCTGATCCTTCCAACTAACTTTAGACACGTTCTTCGGAGCTATGGATTCCTCGTTCTCGATCCTTTCGCCACTCGACGGCACGAATTTCGAAAGCGCTGCACTCGTGGAGTAAACGGGTTCAAATAATTCGAATTTCCCGCCCTGGTATTCCTTCCAATAATTCCTTACTTCATTCGGTCTCTGCGGTACCGTACCTTCATTTTCAGATTTTTCCTCTTCCAAGGATTCTCTCTCGTTTAACGCCCTTTTTAGTAAATTTTCAATCGATCCATCCTGATCGCCCAAGAAGCTTTTGCTAATTTCTTCATCACTCTTTCCAACTTTGTAATCAATATTTTCCGACGATTCGTAATTAGAAGAGTCATTGGATTTTTTATTTCCATCATCAGACTCTATGATCCTCGCAAGCACACCCATCACGTCCTCATGCAATTTCTTATCTGTTACCTTGTTGGATTTGTTGACTCTTTGAAAACTGTCAGTTCCATTCATCTGGGTTACGTTGTTTATCGACACAGGGTATACCGTGTCATTGACAAGCTCCTGCCTCAAAATTAATGGTGTTTCCAGATTCGCATTTCGCTCGGTCGTGGATTGCCTAAGGAACGTCGACGAAGGTTTGACTGTTGAATTCAAAGAATTCAGTTTCACGCCCTGGACTGCGGGAGATCCCAGAGCTCTGAAAGTGGCCTTCGCCGGTACGTCAATTGTGATTTCAGAAAGTCGAGTGCTGGATTCGATTTCCTCAGACTTGGCTGATCTGTCCATAGTCGAAGAATACAGTTGCGTAGTCGTTCTTCCAATGTTGGATCCGATACGGTAGGAATTTCTACCAGAGATGGGACCTTTGATTCTCGTCGAAGGAACCTTCGACGGGATACTCAAAGAGCTACTCGAAGCGTCTTGTTGTCTTTGGGAATTCCGGAGCACGCGAGATCCCAAAGAAATCCTTTCAGAATCTTTGGATGCGGTCCTGTCAGAAATCTCATCGCTTCCCAATCTGTAAGATACACCAGGAACTTTGTCCCCCGATACAACATCAAATTGCCCATGCGCATCTATCTCAGGAGGCGATAACGAACTGTTAGAATTTTCAAATTTCCCGCCTTTAGAATCACTCGTTGGGCCGTCGTATCGAGTCACTCTCATAAAGTGCTCCTCTACGAACGGCTGTTTCTTTACCTTCAAATATCTTTCAACGTTATTCGTTACCTCGGCCGAAGATTTTCCATCATTTTCCGATATCGAACGAAGCCCGTATCCTCCATCTTCATCTTCTGGACCAGCTTTTCTTCTGCTCATCTTTTTGAAAGCTTCGTACTCCTCTTCAAGCTTCAGTAACTCCGAGGTTACGTTAACGTTTTTCGAACTGATCAAAGGCTCCTTGTACATCACCTCCTCCGTGATTGGTATATGATTCAGGAAGGAGTCTTTGTCTGATTTTTTAAACTCCCCAATGATATCCCGATCTATGTCCTTACTCTCTGTTCCATCTGGACTGATGCTTTTCTTCTTGTTTCGCCATTTTGAATATACCGATCTCTCGCGTAATGCTTGTCTGGACACTGCATCCATGTACGGCTCCATTTTACCCTTCGTCCCGAAATTGCCGATCAGAGCACTTTGTAAGATCGGTGATATAACTTCGTTCGAGTATTCAGAACTACCCTTATCTCTGGCTACTCTGTCATCTCGATGAGGATCTTCGTCTTGGAAGTCCTTCGAGAAGGATCGCACACTCAATGTCGGGCCTACCACGTCCTTGAACTTTACTCGATCTTTCTCAAGAATTGGAGTGCTTTCGGTTTTCACTGATTCGGTTTTTCCGTAGATCTTGTCCACGATGTCTTTTTCAGCTCTGCCTTTACGACTTTGACTTCCAATATATTTACTTATATATCTGTCAGCGTCCTTTGAAATACTTTCTGCTGACGATAAGCTATCTTCTAATCTTTGTTCCTCCGATCCTCTTAACGACTTTTCATCTTCGATTATATTGTCGAATACGCTTCGCGCGTTTATATTACGATCACCTTTTGACCGCACTTTATTACAGGGTGGCCTCATGCTCGAAAATGATTTTTCAGGTGAATGATTCAATTTTGGGGATGGCTGTCGCTCGGCGTTCACTTCCGGATCGCAGGAACAACAAAAGCCCTGCTCGTGCAAACAGGATCCGTGCATTAAGTAATTACCACGAAGCCACATTGTTATTCGAGGAGTGACTTACAATATGTTTGTTACGTAATTACCTGACTGTATGGAATGGGATTGCCGTGAAATAACATCTGGCCACAGGTTGGTTCTTTCAGTCCGTTTTCACATCCTGTGTAATTTGCTTGTTTCTTATTTATCACCTCTTCCTTGGCTTCGCCATTGACCACCTTCGTTAATCAAATTAATAATCATCATTGACACTTGCCAGCATATGCTCTATTGACGTAAATATTCTATTACCGTTTTACATAACCAAAAAAGATACTCGCTAGAAAAATGTCAAATCAATACTGCAGTGGTGACTGTCGAGATATTACCAACGTTGGGTTATACAGTATTTCACGGAAGGTAAATATCATGGGATTTTGTGCCTTACTACTATACCAACTTATGGTCATGCAGATTATAACAACGGTCAGTAGTAGATTACGATTATCGGCATCGACTTCAAGTTACGAATTATTTCAAACCTCATAAACTTTCATGAATCTTTGAAAATCACAAAGCACATTGCACTGTGCGCAATCTTACTTACACTTTGAAATTTTAAACCGTAAAGCTGCAGTACGGGTTCCTGCCTGACTTTGACCACAAAAGGATTCAACAAACGTGCCTTGTGCATAGTCACAGGATCCAGTACGTGATCAATCACGACAAACTCTTCCTGCGTTTTAGTCTACAATCAAGGATCAATTGATATCGAATTACTCATGCCATTTAATGACAATACCTTCCCAATATTATTAAACTTCATAGTGACAATGAGTTTCCGTCGACAGTCACGAACTTCAGAGTGATGAGCTGGCTCGTCTCTATCGAATCCATGAAATTCAAGAATATCTTGACTACGTCCAGCCGTGATATTGTAATTGTTTCCATGCATAGGAACATCAATTCTAAGAGTAAAAGAAATTATATACTTTATCACGCAACTCATTGAAACCAACGGAAATGACATGTACGTCTCTTCGTGTGATCTTGGACAGCGAACAAGAACTGCTCTGATCTCGATGGACGGCTCCTGTCCGACCGGAAGTCCTTCCTCGGGTGAACGACGATGATTCCAAGATCCGTTGGCACGTGGATCACCCTCGTCCTTGTCCACGTCATGGCTCCATCTTGTAGGACATTTGGGATTTCGCGAGGGATGATAATCTGGAGCGTACGTGAACTCCGATACGTAAGGTGTAAAGCGAGCCATGGCTTCAACGGGATACGGTCCAGCCAATGCGACCAGCATCTATATCAATCATGAAGGATCAGGAGTGACCTATTGATTATCCTTCGAAAATTCAGTGTAGGGCGCATAAGGCTTTAGAGGATAATCCAGGATATAGGGTAGGTCTCGTGTAAGACCTTTAACGGCCATTGGGCTTTTTATCCTGAAGGACATGGGTAGGATATCGGGATAATAATGTTCGTGGTATGGAAAAATGATAGTATTGACATTCAAATGGAAATTGATAAGGATAATGGATATCCTTGCGTTTCGTTTTGAATGTACCTGCAGAGTTATCCAAAGGACATGAAAGAGACAGCAGTCACACGGTGACATGTTAAGCCATCTGACAGGACATCGGAGTCAGTCACTCGACTCATTTCCGGATCAGATGAATAGTCAGCCTCCCAGGACCACGCAAATTGTACGGGACGACGAACATATGGACCAGCAGGATATCAAACGATTTATCTGGCTAAGCCTGGCTATCCTGCTCGATGCAGGATTCCTCTTGTTAAATACGACTGTCCTGTTTCTTTGGTACTTGGTATTGAACGTTAACTCGACGAATGATTCAATTACCGTAAGATCTCATAAAATAATGAATTAAAATATACAGTGAGAATCGTAGTAAAGGAAAACTCGACGCGTTGAAAAATCGCTAACGTGACAACGCACCCGAATATTCGATATTACGCTGTTATCGGCACGTAACTCTGTCATTCAGATATTTCTTTAGCGAATTTCGAAGTAAAATAACCGAAGACTATTTCCATGGAGATTGGAAGTAGTATACAGGGTGATTGTTTTTAATCGCCTCAGGCTGATATCTCGTAAATTAAGCAACACACGAAAAATACATCTCATACGAAACTTTCTTGATTTTGAGGGGGAAAGAAGATGGTATAGTCAGATTTATCGTAGGTGTAGCCGCCAAGGTTAGGTGAAGGTCAACTTGGATTTTTTAAATAGAACGGTGCACTTTTTTTTAAAAAACCTGAAAGAGCATCCAATTTTACATAAAAAACGTTATAGGTACTGATGGCCCACAACCAAATGGTAATGAGATAAGAGCTGGGCAAGTTAGATAAAAGGAAGCATCGGCCTGGTGCCGGTATTGGAGCAGCACGTATGTTTCAACGTACTTGAATGCAATTCTCAATTTGCAGTACTTGATTGAAAGGATCAAAACTGTTCAAACTGTTCTTTTACTTCGAGTTGCCAAAGTCAGGTCAAGATTATCAACTTTTTGTAACGAAAAGTAGCATATCGTTTTTCTTTCAGGGTTTATTCGAAATCTGAGATTACATTTGTTGATTCTTGATTAATCTTTATTGTGAACATTTTGCATAATTTTCATGATTGTTACCTTTTATTGTTACAATTCGAAGGTGCCCTGGTTTGCATCGATGCATAATAATTGTAATCGTCGCTGAAATGCATTTATCCTTTTCTGAAGTACTTGTGCGGGAATTGGCTCGCAAGCTTGGATAAGTACGTTCCTTTGAATTAATCCGTGTTGTAACTTTCTTCGCATAGACAATCCCTTTTGAGTGCTCCCATAAAAAAAAAATCTGGTAACGTCAGATCCGGCGATCTTGGAAGCCAGCGTACGTATCCATCTCGACCCATCCAGCGTTCTGGATAGTTTAAATTTGAGAAATTTTTGACGATACGGGCATAATGCGCACCTGCTCCGTCTTGCTGTATCCACATTCGGTTAATAATGTTTGGATCTACTCCGTCTAACATTGATGGTAATTCCACTTCGAGGAGATGAAAATAATTTACACTGTTGACATTGTCATAGAAAAAATACAGACCTACGATTTGACCGTCGATGATTCCACGCCAAACATTTAATTTCCAGGGATGCTGCTTATCGACATGACGGATACAGTGAGCACCTCGCTGCAGTACAAATTCGCTACAGCCAGTACGGTTCAAGGCTACATTGTATTATTTCGAAGCTCGCAGGTAGAACAAAACAATAAAATCGATATAACTCGAATCATTCCTTACGATGAATATTGGTTGTTTATGAACTTGTATTGTCAGCAAGTACCATATCTTCCATGTAATTCGAGTCATCGGTTGCTTATCTCAATTATCAGATTCGCAAGAATGCCAGAAATAATGAAAAAAAGTGCACCATTCTATTTTAAAAATCCAAGTTGACCTTCACCTAACCTTGGCGGCTCCACCTACGATAAATATGACTATATCATCTTCTTTCCTCCGCGAAATCAAGAAAGTTCCATATAAAATGTATTTTTAGCATGTTGCTTAATTTGGGAGATATCAGCCTGAGGCGCTTAAAAAAAATCACCCTGTACACACATATATATATATACATATATATATATATATTTGTATAAATCATATTTATTTGCCATATGAGTCATCAATCAGCAATGAACATTTACAACGGTGTTTCAATAATGAGTTTATGCTTTCGATTTTAATGAAGCGCATTCAGCCCCGTTCGCAGCAACAACGTGTTACGATTAAGAAGGAACAATTTAGAGAATCGTTCATTGTTTCGTGAAATTCGAAGAAAGAAAGAATAGAAGAAAATTTTGCACGGCAAAAAGTGGTCACTGCGAGCGGGGAAGTGGTCGCCCGGATGCGTATGCATTAAGAATATCACAGTTCGCGATTTTTTGCCTCAAAACTATAGTCATAAAAGTTCTTTCACTAGCCGACAGCTTACAACGTTTAATCGAGGTTATCACTACCATTTTTTATGTAATCTTACGCGCCACATGTGGCGACTAATTGCTGTAATTAAATATAATAATTTTAATTTCGCACTAATTGCTCTCGTTATAATCGCCAAAGAAAGTTTCACCTCTCACACTTTATCTACGAATCTGCAGCTGAACTTTTAAGCGCTCTACACTTATTTATTGCTCTCTCCCTTCGTTACAGGCCTTTTATCATTTTTAGCACTTACGAGCACGCACGCACGCTTACACACGTCCTCACACACACATGGATAACACGCCATGCACGCTTATGTCTCATTATCTTCACTCGTCTCCACTTTTGTTCCTCTTTCTTCTCCCCCCCCCCCCCCCCC